CCCGGCAAAATCGATCCAGCCATTTCAGAGATTAGCCGTAACAAACAGACAGACAAAAATTGTAAAAAACCGTGGACCGATTTTGACGGGACTTTTTTTGGCAAGTAGCTGATGTAACAAGGAATAAGTTAGGCTACTTTTATTTTAGAAAAAATAAAGTTAAAACCACGCGGACGAAGTTGCGAATACAGCTAGTCATAAATAAAATAATACTTACAGTTAATAATCACTTTCTCATATTTTTTTAACAGTTTTTTACAAAATCTTTTCCACACGTCCGTTCGTAACGCTTGTTGCAATCGTAATAATCTCATCGCCATTGGAGAATAGAAAACTGGGAGGTAGCTCCCAGTTTTTTAAATAGTCAATACACTTACTTTTACTTTAACAATGCAATTAGATAAAATGGTTATTAAATATGATAAAGAAGCGTACTACCCTTAGGCAATTCAAATAGAACAAATATAATAATCATGACTAACTGTTGATAACACTTGTTTATAAAATTTTGTTTGCAATCGTAATATTTGGATACGAATAAAGATTTTATCAATCTATCAAAAATACATGATGAATATTTTTTTCAGAAGTTTAACAAATAATTGCAATGGAAGAAAACAATATAACAAATTACAATAAGCAATCACAAGTAGATGTACAAACAAGACGTACGGTTAAGTCAAGTTCAAGGAGACACCTGTTTAGACAAGTGAGTCAAAGTATTCAGTTCAAATAAGTAATTATAAATAGGTCTGTGCCTAGACGTAGTAGAGGATAAAGTTAGTACAACAATAATAATTTTTCCAATAGTCCTATCATAATAAAGTATCATAACAAAAAATGGCAGGCACATACTACCAGCCCGACAGTTAGTCACGGCATATGCTGAGTGTTAGCCATGTTGCCAACCATATATATAAATAATATAAGATAGTATAATTGTTGTCAATCAATGTTATTCTTTTCTTTCATACCTAATTACCTATATCATAGTCTGAAACAATTAACAATACAAAAACACTCTACATTACCCTTCAAAAGGCTGCAATTTTAAATAATTGTCGAACTGTCCGGAAATTTCTAGAAATAGATGAAAAAGACATAATACCAATCACACAATAAGTACACACACTCACACACATAAACACGCACTCATACATACACACGCACTGCACTTATTTGGTTTCGGCCGGTAAGTGTGGTCAAAAACCAACATAAGCTGAGAAAATGTGACAATAGTGTAAATTATGATAGTAATAAGGTATACGCCACAAAGCATAAAAACCCAGCAAGAGCTGTGAAAATAAAACATATAGCAATAATAAAGCTGTTAACTTAGATACATGTGTAATAGTTCGTCGCTTCGTAAGTGCTACAACAGAATAGTAGAAAGTAACAAGAGATTTCGCATGTCCCGTCCTCGATACTAGCTACCGGCTTCGCTGTGTACAAGAAAGATAGTAATAATCTCAGGGTGGGTAATAATCATAATCTGAAGCTTGTGTTATGGGTACTAGATAACTGATACCAGTGGCACTCAATGAGGAAATAGCCATTATTATTGCTAAAAGTTGCATATAGATGGCGTAATTGGTATCGATGGAATTCTTCATAGTTTTGCAAACGTTTTAAAAAACAAAACTGTGTTTTCAAAATAATTTAATCCATTTTTAAAAAAATATATATACATGTTAAAATGAAATAATGCGTTTAGAAAAGTAATTTTCATATATTTACTCATTTTGTTATTTTCCAGTACTTAATTACACTTTAATCAGTGCTAATACGGGGCTCAATGTTTTCAAAATGCTTTCATAGATGGCATTGTTGTCATTTGTATCGGCCTAATTAAATGTCTTTTTTATATTTTCCAATAATAAGCACTTAATATATTATTATTGTAAATTAAACATATAAAAAAAGTTTAAGTAAATTAAAAATAGCCGAACAAGCAAATAATACTATTTCCAATAATACTTATGTATGAAGTGTTGTCATATTAAAAATAAATACATGTATTATCGATTTTTTTTAATAATCGATAACAGGATTTTATTACAGCGCATTATTCGATGATGCTTTTAATGAGTCGTTGTGAACAATAAATTTTCATTATTTTGTATTAAGTATAGCAGTATTCCGTTTCAAAGAACGGAATATAGTAGTACATTATTAGTGTCGTTGGTTATTTACATTTGTACTGAAAAATCGATTACATAATAATTTAAAATATCGAGTACGAATCGTAGCTGTCTTCGAATACTGGCAACTGGTAAGATTAAAATAGTTTTAAAAAAAAGAGAGAAATCGACCCTAACTCGTATACCATAAAGTTTATTTTCCTTTCTCATTAATATCACAGCAGTTTGTTTTTAACTTGCGTATGACTCTGTGGTATGATGTTTAACGTGTATTGTTATTGTACGGTGCATACATTTCAAAAATTATATTTTAATGTAGGTACAAACATTTCTTTCATACATTTCATACATGTCAAAAATTATCTTTTAATGTAGGTACATACATTTCTTTCATACATTTCATACATGTCAAAAATATCTTTTAATGTAGGTACATATATTTATTTCATACATTTCATACATTTCAAAAATGAACTTTTTATGTAGGTACATACATTGTTTTCATACATCTCATACATTTCAAAAATTATATTTGAATGTACATACATTTCTTTCATACATTTCATACATTTCAAAATGAACTTTTTATGTAGGTACATACATTTCTTTCATACATCTCATACATTTCAAAAATTATATTTTAATGTAGGTACATACATTACTTTCATACATTTCAAAAATTATATTTTAATGTAGGTACATACATTTCTTTCATACATTTCATACATTTCAAAAATGAACTTTTTATGTAGGTACATACATTTCTTTCATACATTTCATACATGTCAAAAATTATCTTTTAATGTAGGTCCTTACATTTCATACATTTCAAAAATTTCATACAATACATTTCTTTCATACATTTCAAAAATTATCTTTTAATGTAGGTGCATACATTTCACACATTTCAAAAATTTCATACAATACGTTTCTTTCATACATTTCAAAAAGTATTTTTTAATGTAGGTACATAACACCCCATGTCAGACCCCTTATATTTGGAAGAAACTTAAAAATAATGCCAAAAATATTAGATGAATATATTTTTAATACGAATATTGTTTTATTTTTGTTCATCAACTTTATCCCTCACTAACAATACTAGTAGTAGTACATAACCTGGTTTATACCGCTAAAGATATTGAAAGATATACGAGTAATTCAGAATGTTATCAAGTTCAAAATAAGCACACATTACTTGCTTAGATAACAGAGTAATATTACTAGTAATAAAAACATTTGTAATACCCATATGTATACTACGTATGTATAGTAAGTACTTACGCTGCGGCGCCGTGAGACTCGTCTAAGTACTTCATCTACTCATCTACGCGCGGTAACCGCGCCGACCGACCAATAGGATAGCGCCTCTCGTGTTTCCAGAAAGTTCGCGACTAACGGACGATATAGTAGTAAGGCAATGAGTGTCCCAGTGATATCATTATAATATTTTCTCGTTAAATTTTATTGTAATATACACAATTTCGCACTAAATAACGTGTTACCCCGTTACACATTTCTAATAATGAAAAACCTAGACCGACCCTGTTCACTTAATCTTACAAGATCTGACTTTAAAAATTACGATATCCTCATATAGCCTTTCATTTCCCCTTTCAATACTTTTTCGCAGTAAAAAGTAGTCTCAGGGTCTACATTATCTGTCTACCAAATTTCAATTAAATCAGTTCAGTAGTTTTGGCGTGAAAGCGAGACAAACAGACAGACTGAGTTACTTTAGCATTTATAATATTTGTAAGAATATCGCTATTAAAAATAGGGGTTGGTGAAAGACGGGTGAAAATTTAGGCGTGTATGTATTTTCAATGTAACATTATAAATAAATAAAAAATTGTCCATAATACAAAAAAATATTTTTTCGGGGTAGGCCACCCCTATGACTTAGGGGTATAAAAAAAATAGATAACAACCCTACCTCAGACCTGGGAAGTATACATATCAAATTTCATCAAAATGTGGGAGAAATATGGCAACTAACACTGTGATACAAAATTTATATATAAGATATAGCGGAATTCTCATTAGGTAAAAGAGGGGTACATCGTAGAATACATGAGGTATATACCAGTAAATTAATTGTAGCTAAAATCAGTCTCATACATATAACGATTGAAATAAAAAATCGTATAGCCCGATTTTGATACGTACGAGTATAAACGTATCAAAATCAGGCTATACGTATAGCGCAGACGCGTTACAACATATCAAAAAAAATAGGCATGGAATGTAAAATAAACCATAACACAATAGGTATATACATTGGCACATAAGCCATATCTGCAGAGTGTCGGCTAACGATATTATACCTACACATTTACATTGAATCTTGAATCGTCCCTAATGAGGTACACGATACAGTTACCTACATATCTATTATATACATATCTTTGCAAAACAGATGTCATGTAGACTGAATTCACTGCCATCTATTTTCATGCTTTGTTACTAAGCACCCACTAGTAATCCGAACTGCTTCAGATCTAGCGACATCTAGCGGCTACGGTGGCGAAATAAAATAGCCCGAAGAATAGCCCGAGTTAGGAAGGAACCATTTTCTTGTATGGGATGGGGTATCTGTATGTAATATTATGTTATCTGTGCTGATACTAACATATATATATAATTTTTTTTTCGTACAAAAAACAAACCATAAAATGTGTAACTAATTTAGAAATGACAGACTCCAATGTCGATCATTCGAAATTTCTTTCAAGATTAGATGGGTAATGTGTCGATGAAATTCACCCATTTCGAGTAAGTAAAGCCTAATATATATGTAAAATAATACTTATTTTTGTTTATCAGTGTCTGGTGTCAACTGGTGTTTCCCTCAGTATAATGGAGTTAGGCCTTATAATCGGATTCACAGCAGTGCTAATACCTCAATTAAGGGATGACACATACATGGGGATGGACAAAAATGCGGAGTCTTGGATTGGTAAGCATACTTCGATGGTTTTATAAAATACTATAGTCTCGCCCTGGCTTTACTATTCTTGGACTTACTTGGATTTTCTACATGAATTATACATACCTTCCTCTTGAATCACTTTACAATTGCTGAAAATTGTTTCAAAATTCGTTACGATAATTTTATTTTTTTGCGATTTAAGCATGAATTTAATAGAAACAAACGGCAATTTCGTTTTATCCTATGTAATATGACATGCATAGTATATGTATGTGTGTTGAATTTTTGTCTTTATTTTAGATATATGTATATATATTGTTTGGTGAAGGAATACTATTGTTTGTTTATAATAATTAAACAATAAATTGATAGAATCGTTTTGGTACAGTAGATATTACAATATTTATTTACGCTACGCTATATTCAAGAAGTGTGTATCTTACTAATATTATAAACGCGAAAACTAGTGAGTTTATGTAGATGTATAAATCAAATCAAAAACTATTTATTCATTTTTATTCCATAAGTGTATTTTAGCCACTTATGGAATAAAATTGGACCAAGAATAGATCCTTGAGGTGCACCCACTCGCACAAGTAATGGTTGGGTGGATGTATATATGGGTGACAAACTGATTTAATAAATAACAATGTTTCTCTATTCAGCCTGAGAGGAGGCGTTAAACATTTTATGTTTTAAATAACTTTCACCCGCATGAAATAGCCTATATAATAATAATAATAATAATATAATAATAATAACTCTTTATTGAGCATACATAAACATAGGACAGTAAGTACAAAACAATGAAAATAAATGTTTTACAAAAGGCGGTCTTATCGCTATCAGCACTCTCTTACAGACAACCCGGTATTGTGATGATTGAACTTTAAGAATTTACCAACCTGTTTTGTAATTCATGTTTTCATCTTTGAATATCAAATATATTACATATGTTGTTGTTTCAGCATCAATTCAAGGATTTTCATTCATGCTAGCAGCTTTTGTGAGTCCATGTGTAATAGACCAATATGGCAGAAGAAAGGCAAATTTTATCGGAGCTATCATTGTAGCCATCGGTTGGTTCTTTCTGATAGTATCTGGGAATCTTACTATGATAATTATCGCCAGAATATTACAAGGTCTAGCACTTGGAATATCAAGTTTGTCAGGAGCTGTTTTGGTAGCGGAATATACATCTCCGAAATACAGAGGAGCCTTTATCACCTTAACTACAATTACAATGTTATCTGGAAGTTTAATAGTTCATGCATTAGGATATTTTCTTTTATGGCATCAGGTAGCTATATTCTGTCTGTGTGTTGCAATTTTGGATGGTGTCTTAGTATTTTTATCACCAGAAAGCCCGGTTTTCTTAGCAACTCAAGGTAGATTTGACGAATGCAAAAAAGTGTTTCATTGGCTACGAGATTTGGATGAAGACGAAGAATTAGACGCTATGATCAAAGTTCAAATATTACGCAGAGCAGCTATGAATGAGCCACAGAAGACAATACTTAATAAATTTACTGTTAAAATAAAATCTGCATTGATTACTATTAAGAAAGCTGATTTCTACAAGCCTTTGATTGTGATGATGCATTTTAATATTATTTCCGTTTGGTGTGGGGCGGTCATGATGGATGCATATGGGTTTGATGTATTTCAGAAGCTGGTTGGTAACGACATTAACATTACTATGTTGATGTTAATTATGGATATAATTAAAATCATTTCTGCCATTATTGGTATTGTCATTCACACTACGTTTAGAAGACGTTCGATGCTCATGTTCTTTGGGCCTTTGAATATTGTTTCTTATATACTATTAATTGTTTATCTATATGCTAAAGATAATCATATACATCTATTTAATAATCCATTTATAGCAGCAGTGTTAATCTATACCCTTGTTTTTTCTGTAGCAGCAGGTCTAATGCCTCTAGTAAATATCATAGCAGGTGAAATATTTCCTCTAAAATATAAAGCAGTATGTACATTAATAACAACATTGTTTGCAATGGGCAATCTTACAGTTAAATTGAATACTATGTCAAGTCTATTCTCTAGTATTGGTTTAAGTGGTTCTTTTGTTTTATATGGTGCTTTAGTTTCGTACAGTGTTATAATACTTTTATTAATATTACCAGAAACAAAAGATAAAACATTACAAAATATAGAAGAAAAGTCGTGGAAGAAAATTAAATGTGAAACAGATGTAATGTCTTCTTTAGATAATCAGTTACTGGATTTAGATTCTAATAAATTACAAATGTCTGTACATCATCAGAATGATAAAGAAAATTATGACTAATATTATAAATTTATTGTAAATAGTATTCTAATTATTTTGTAAATTAAATCGTTTTTATGTGAATCCAAATATATATATTTTATTTAGGAATACAAAGCTCTTTTTGTACATCTAAATATATATAACTCAAAGGTACTCTATCTACGCACTGTCCAAACCACTGGACGGATCGGGCTGAAATTTGTCATGCAGGTAGATGTTATGACGTAGGCATCCCCTAAGAAAGGATTTTGATGAATTCCACCCTTAAGAGGATAAATTAACGCGAGCAAAAGCTAGTATATATATAAGAGTAATTATAACCAGCGACAAATCCCTTGTACATAGCTAAACACGTTCTACTTATAATCTCTATATTTTTATTTATACTAAATTTAAATTTATGGATTGTACTATCAAAAATATTTGGACTACTCTAGTTGGCAGCTAACCTTTACAGCTTCACCGGACGATAGGGAGCGAGTGCAGATGGCATTCCAAATCCGCGGTCTTATGGAAATAGAAATAGAAATAATCTTTACACAAATAAACTTAATATAAGCACTTTAGGAACAGCTAGTAGCAAATAAAAATAACAATATTGCAGTAAATAAAACCACAGGATAGTCTTGGTATAAGTATGTAAATTCAGTAATAGCAAAATGATCACATGATAATTCTAAACATGTCAATTTATAATCTTACTAAACATTAAAAGTTTGTGAGTATGGGTTGACGGACGTTTGTTACTCTTTCACACAAAAACTATCAAACGGATTTCGATGAAACTGTACAGTAATACCTATAGCTTATACATCAGAATAACAAATAGGCTATACATTTAACGCGGACGAAGCCGCGGGCACAGCTAGTGGTTAATATTAAAATGTATCCAGTCAACGAGCGCGGTGTTTTTGCATGTACTCATTAACATGGATGTGTGGTCAAAAAAATAACTGGGACGTCTTTATCCTCTAGCATATAAGTAAGTAAATAAAAAGTAAGGTGAACTTACAGATAACGCAGTAATTATAAACAAAGGGTATTTTTTTCGTCCAATAATTTACTTAAAATAGAACATGCAATTCAGGACCTTTCATTACGATTTCAATTCTCACAGTAATTACTTTCAGTGAGTATATAATTGTAATTATTGTTTGCAGAGCGTCGTGACGTAGTGATTTAATGTCACGATTTATATCTAAAAGGGCGTCAATTAAAGTCCCGTCAACACCAAAAATCAACTTTATTGCCTTGATCACCAGGAATACTTTAATTAATATTTAACAGGAGGGTCAGAGGACGAGATTCTTCAGAATGGAAAGAATTTCTCATTGCCAGCTATCAGGTTTACCTCCACCTATTTTTTACTTGGAGTAAATCTTCATGGAGACCCGTCCGTCCCGGAGGCAAGCGGGTACCTCAAGACTCATACTTACTAAACACTCCAAGATCTTCCTCATCCAACGCCACATGCCGGAGTCGCAGGATCGAAATGACAGTTCACCGCGACTCCAACGTCGCCGACTCTAATTATCATTGCGAGTTCCCTGTAGAACTTCCTGATTTCCCATTATTTCCTGGTGAAAACGCGCAAGGACAACCGAGCAACTTATTTGAGCCTAGTTTAGTAGGGTAGGAACAACCCCCGCGGTTATCACCCCGGACCGGTTTTGATCCACCTTAGAAATCCTGAAAACTATCGTCGTACATTTTTAGCAAGGTTTTTCTGAGCTCATCAAACTTATAAGCTTATTCTTGATACCTTTTTATATAAAATAGAATATTATATTCACTAAATAAGTCTTCGTTATTCAATTTGCCACTTATTTAATTATAAATTCAGCTTAGATGAATGGTCAAGTAACCCGTTTAATTTTTACAGATATTTGAAAGGATATACCAATGGATGAAGATTCTATGGTCGACCGAAATAAATCACAAGAAGTTGTACAAAAATGGAGTAAAGTAAAGTCAAGAAGACGGCTCATTAGACAAGTAAGTACTACTTATTAACAATATTCTTAACTTATTACTCCTATCTGAATTAATACATCAAAATAACACATAGGCTATAATAGAAATAGATTAAGATAAGAGCATCAATGCTCTAGCCGTTAATCATACCGCTATACTAATTTTATAGTCGCAGGATCGATTCCATGCACGGTACAAACATTTGTGTTCATGACTATGATTGTTTGTTTCATGTGTGTTTAAAATAAATGTACCAAAGTATTCATATCAGTTGTCTATTAACCATAACATATCTACCTTGATATTAGAATAATAAAATTATATGTGCAAATTGGACGAAATATAATGATAACCTAAAGAAAGTTGACAAAAGCACAATAGTACAAGTAGCCAAAAGAGAAATAATAGATATTGATTAATGTGAAAATATTTAATTTACGACCCACAAATTTATTAATAAAATAATAGTGTAATATAGAGTAGTAGGTAATACTGAGAATGATGTATTACAGACAACTGATTCAAGAAAAGCCACTCACAAAATTGTGATAACCGCGAATACACCATGCGTTGCTAGTTCAGAATTAACTGAGAATAACGATATTTTACAAGTAACCCACTTCACAATACTATATCTTGTTAAATATGTTTTTATGTGTCAGTGCCTGGTGTCGACTGGTGTTTCACTCAGTACGATGGAGCTGAGTCTTGTGCTGGGATATACGGCAATACTAGTACCTCAATTACGAAATGATCCAAATATAGGAATGGACAAAAACATGGAATCTTGGATCGGTAAGGTCACTTGGGATCTCTAAATAAGATTGTCTTAATTGACTAAAATTATAAGTTGATTGTCCACCTAAAGGAGGATGATCCTTGTGACAAAACACATTTTAGAGTTTATGTAATGACCTATATCAACATCTTTGCAAATTTTCTACAGTATATTATTTACTATAAAATATTTCTAAAAATCGTTTGTTTGTAAAAAATAGTAATTAAGTTTAATTGTGACATTATTTTCTACGTTCTTGTAAACAGATACATGTTTTGTTTCAGCATCAATTCCTGGATTAGTAGTAATGTTAACTGTATTCATGGCTCCAACTATAACAGACCGATACGGCAGAAGAAAGGCCATCTTAATTAGTGCTATTATTATGAGTTTTGGTTGGCTCTTTTTAACCATAGCCACCAATCTACGTATGATAATTATCGGCAGAATATTACAAGGCTTAGCATCTGGGATATCAAGTTTATCTGGGACTATTCTAGTAGCTGAATATACATCTCCGAAATACAGGGGAGCGTTTGTACCTTTAACGACTATAACCATGTTATCTGGCGGTTTGGTAGTTCACACATTAGGATCATATTTTTCATGGCATAAGACTGCTATATTTTGTTTGGCTATTGCAGTTTTAGATGGTGTCATTGTATTTTTCTCACCCGAAAGTCCAGCATTCTTGGCAAGACGAGGAAGATTTGACGAATGCAAAAAAGTATTCCATTGGCTTCGAGATTTGGATGAGGACGAAGAATTAAATGCTATGATCAAGGTTCAAGTGTTACGTAGAGCTGCAAAGATTAAACCAGAAGATCGCTCACTACTTAATAAATATACTAACAAAATAAGATCAGCACTGAATACTGTCAAAAAAGTTGAATTCTATAAACCTTTAATACTGATGATACATCTTGAAATTATTGGTATGTGGGCAGGTGGAATAATTATGAATGTATATGGGTTTGATATATTTCAAGAGATTGTCGGAAATAATATGAACATAATTATATTGATTATACTTGTGGATGTTTTGAAAATGATTTCAGCAATTCTAGCTATTTACATTCACCATAAATTTAAAAGACGTTCGATGCTCAAGATTTTTATACCAATAAATATTCTTTCTTATTTGCTATTAACCGGTTACTTATATGCCAAAGACAATCATGTACATCCATTTGATCGACCTATAATAGGTGTTGTATTGATCTATGTTCTCATTTTTTCTATGGGAGCAGGTGCAATGCCTCTTTCAAATATAATAGCTGGTGAGATATTTCCTTTACAATATAAAGCGATATGTGCATTAATAATAGCATTAATATCAATTGGCAATATTACGATAATATTGAACACGTTCTCGAAGCTTCTCTCCAGCATAGGTTTGAGTGGCATTTTTCTATTATACAGCGCTGTAATAGTGTATGCTTTTGTAATCGCGTTGATTCTTTTACCAGAAACGAAGGATAAAACTCTTCAGAATATAGAAGAGAGATGCTGGAAGAAATCTAAACCTGAAATACATGTAAAGACTCTTTTAGATAATCGGTTATTAGACGTAGATTCTAATAAATTAATTGTAAGTTCTGATCACCATAATGACAAAGGGAATGTAGTTTAAGCATAAAGATTTTTTATAGTTATGTTTTATGTAACTATGCAGTATAAATAAATTCAGGAATAAAACATCAATAAGAAACTAAAAATTAATGAGTGAGACGGTCATAAGCTAATTCCATGTTATTGAATGAAATGTGGGCAAGGAAATATTTAGTATTGCATTCATCACCACGTCGACATTTGATAATAGGCGAGATTCGTACATCATTTATTTTTTAGTACCTGTAATAAAGAAATAGTATAGAAATAATAGTAATTTTGTAAACGGAAGCTCAGAAGATACCTAGAAATTTATTGCTTTATATGTAAATATAGCCCCAGTTTCGAAATTAATATGATTCAAATAATTAATTAAGTGGTTTTATTTCGTTTCCATTTCAAAGCATTAGAATTATTAGTTGTAGTCTCGACTTGGAACAAGAGTATGACTGTCATATTCTTGAACTTGGAATGAAACACATAGAATATAAAGGAATCGAACCCGCGACCACCGGAAGTAAGGCCATATGGGAAACCTGTAGGCCATCGAGGCCGTCTAACTTTTATTGTATTCTAATTGTATTTACATAATAAAAAATAATGAGTAGTAGAGCCCACATAGAAATGCGAATTGTCAAAATACATATATAATATAAAAATATATGTACACACAACTCCCCACTTACATTTTTGTTGCATATATGTAATATTGCGAAAAAATGGGCCGTTGTAAACGAAAACTTTGTCCCAATTTTTTAGTATTCAAATATTTATTCTGTAATTAGGCCCTTACAGCTACTTTTACAAGTTAATATAAAAAACCAAATATAAGATAAAAAAGAAAAATAATTTTTAGTATAATGTGAATGGGATGTATGGATGTGGATATTCTACACAAGATTTTTAACATTAATGTTGGGCTTTACAGCTATTTCTATTTTATATTTACACTAAATTCTTTTCTATGTTTTTTTTAACAAATTATGTGCTAATAATATCTTACCTACTATATAAAAAAAGTCATTTATATAAAATAAAAATAAGGACCTAAAATAGAGCCCTGAGGAACACCCACTTTAACTCTAGTACTCTCTAACTTTACACTAATTATTTTAAACAATTTGCATTCTATTATTCAATAGGATTTCATCATATTTTAGGGCTTCATTTCTAAACCATAATGTTCTAGTTTGTGAAAAAGTATTTCATGATTAACACAATCAAATGCCTTTGAAAGGTCAAGTCGCTTCAATACCCGGACCTGGTTTGAACAAAATATCTCTAAAAATGCTGTGCCCGTCTATCTATTCCCTAATAAGTGATATCTATAGTCGAAGAGGAGACACTCCCTGGTCACCACGAATCTAAGTCCAATGAACTTTACCCTTATGAGTTTATTTACCAAACATACAAATCCACTATGGATTTAACGGGTAAACAAACCGCGGTGAATTGATGAACTTAAAGAAAAGAAATGTCAAGCATTAAATAGCTTACTTGCCGTTCAACGATGGAAAATTTTAGTAATTGTTAAAAATTATGCCAACAACGAAACGGAGCAAATTTGGATGAAGTGTTTTTTTTAAATAATTCCCCTTTTATATATATTACCACACAATAAAAATAAACAAACTGTATTTCGGGTATTTTTTTCAGTTAAAAGGATTTATGGGACACTCTGTAAATACCATTGGATTTTCGCCCCTTCCACAAAATTCTAACAGGTATCAAAATTAAAACGGCCTGAGCCAAGGTTGGAATCCCTAGTTGTACCCTCGAGGTTAAAGTCGTTTCAATCACGGTGGAGTTGGCCTTCAGCCGCTGCATACGTCTTTTCGAGGGTTTGGAGTACACTGCACTCGCTTTCTTTAAAAACTGTATAGGTTGCAACCAATAATGCTAACAATTCAACAACAACAATTCGATTAGTTCGAAAAAAATAACGCCAGTCGTGCAAAATAGAAGAGATTTCAAATTTTGCCAAAAATAAATAGTCTGGATGATGTTTATGTATATTATGTATATATTTACAAAATATATATATATCTATGTAATTTTATCAGTTTTCTAGTATCCATAACACAAGCTTTGCTTAGTTTGTGAGTAGATGACGCTGTGTAAATTCTCCTGGATTATTATTTATATTTTATATAAAAATAATAATGATTAGTTAATATTTAATCTGTATCCAACAGACAATATGTGCGTTGTCATTGCATGAACTCATTAACATGGATGCGTGGTTAAAAAAATAACAGATGGCTTTATCCTTAAACAAGTAAGTAGATAAAAAGTAAGGTGAAGTCATTGATAACGCAGTAATTGTATACAAAAGATATTTTTTTCGTACAATAATTTACTTAAAATTTAACATGTAATTCAGGACTTTTCATTACGAATTCTGTCCTCACAGTAATTACTTTCAGTGAGTATATAATTGTAATTATTGTTGTCAGAGCCTCGTGGTATAGTGATTTACTATCACGATTTATATCCAAAAGGTCGAGAATTCAAATCTCTGCGACACCAAAAGTAAACTTCCTCATCGTGATTTCCAGGAGTACTTATTTCAACTAATAATCTCCTGATGTGGTAGAGGAGGGGATTCTTATTTTTGATAGTAGCATCATTGCCAGCAAGTAAGTTGATTACTATGCGCTTTATCATTTTTTTACTTGAAGAAAAAACCCGCCATTTCCGGGTAAGCGGGTAATGTGAGATTCCTACTCACTAAAAACTCCAAGATGTCCCTCATCAAGTTGCAAATTCAAAGAAAAATAGGCCATTAAGTCGTTAAATTTCCACAGACATTTGAAAACATATACGAATGGAGGAAGATTCTATTGCCGACTGCAATAAATCACAAGATGTAAAAAAATGGAGTAAAGTAAAGTCAAGACGACGGCTTATTAGACAAGTAAGTTTTATTAATAATTATAACAGCAAGAAGTGGTAGGTACTCGTTAAATAATTATTCAATACTCTTATGCTAAATCCTACCTTCTACTAATATTATGAATATAAAGTTGGTATGAATGTATGTATACATTCAAATATCAATATTCATACACAGTGAGATTCAGGTGCCCACGAAAACAATTACAAAGTGACCCATTTCAAAATACTGTGTCTTATTAAGCTTGTATTATATGTCAGTGCCTGGTGTCGATTGGTGTTTCACTCAGTACGATGGAGCTGAGTCTTGTAATGGGATATACGGCAGTACTAGTACCTCAATTACGAGATGATCCAAATATAGGAATGGACAAAGACATGGAATCCTGGATCGGTAAGCACACTTTAGATCTGTAATTAAGATTGTTTCAAATGACTAAAATTCCAAACAAGCTGATTATCCATCTGATTGAAGATGGTGTTTTAACTCATTGATGGTGATGGCATTCCAGAGTTAATGAATCTTTGTTAATTTTCTGCTGTATAAAATTTTCTATAAAACACATCTGAAAATCTTTTGATTATAACAAATTGAAATTAAGTTTAATTATCAATTTATCTTCTGAGTTATTGTAAACAGATACATGTTTTGTTTCAGCATCAATTCCTGGATTAGTGTTAATGCTAGCTGTATTCATGGCTCCAACTATAACAGACCGATACGGCAGAAGAAAGGCCATCTTAATTAGTACTATCATTATGAGCCTTGGTTGGGTTTTCATGACAATAGCCACCAATCTAACTATGATAATTATCGGCAGAATATTACAAGGCTTGGCTTCTGGGATATCAAGTTTATCTGGGACTGTCCTGGTAGCTGAATATACATCACCGAAATACAGGGGAGCATTTGGACCTTTAACGACTATAACCATGTTGTCTGGCGGTTTGATAGTTCACACATTAGGATCTTATTTTTCATGGCATAAGACAGCTGTATTTTGTTTGGCTATTGCAGTTTTAGATGGTGTCATTGTATTTTTATCACCAGAAAGTCCAGCGTTCTTGGCAAGACGAGGAAGATTTAACGAATGCAAAAAAGTGTTCCATTGGCTTCGAGATTTGGATGAGGACGAAGAATTAAATGCCATGATCAAGGCTCAAATATTACGTAGAGCTGCAAAGATTAAACCAGAAGATCGCTCACTACTTAATAAATATACTAACAAAATAAGATCAGCATTGAATACTGTCAAAAAAGTTGAATTCTATAAACCTTTAATTGTAATGATACATCTTGAAACTATCGGTATGTGGGCGGGTGGACTCATTATGGATGTATATGGGTTTGATATATTTCAAGAGATTGTTGGAAAAAATTTGAATATTACCATATTGATGATACTTATGGATATTTTAAAAATCTTTTCGTCAGTTCTAGCTACCTTTATTCACCATAAATTTAAAAGACGTACGATGCTCAAGTTTTTTGTACCATTGAATATTCTTTCTTATTTGCTATTAACTGGTTACTTATATGCCAAAGACCATCATGTGTATCCATTTGATCGTCCTGTAATAGGAGCCGTATTGATCTATGTTCTTATTTTTTCTATGGGAGCAGGTGTAGTGCCTCTAGCAAATATATTAGCTGGTGAGATATTTCCATTACAATATAAAGCAATATGTGCGTTAATAATAACATTAATCTCAATGGGCAATATTACGGTAATATTGAATATTTTCGCAAAGTTTCTCGCGAGCATAGGTTTGAGTGGCATTTTCCTTTTATACAGCGCTGTAATAGTGTATGGTTTCGTGATCGGGTTAATTCTTTTACCAGAAACGAAGGATAAAACTCTTCAGAATATAGAAGAGAAGTCCTGGAAGAAAACTAAACGTGAAATAGGCGTAAAGGCTCCTTTAGATAGTCAATTATTAGATGTCGGTTCTAATAAATTAATTGTTAGACCAGATCACAAAGATATCAAAGGGAATGTGGTCTAATTATGTTACATCATTAGAGACAGTAATATGTTGTGCAATAAATTTCATCAATTATATAACTATCTTTACAGACAATCGCCGCCGTTTGTTCGTATTTATCCTTTAACTTATGCAACGGAATTTAATACAGTTTTAGGCAGTAGATAGAGTGAGAAAAGTAGAGAAGGAAGGAAGGTACATAATACATGCTTGTATGTATGTAGTATGGAATAATCTGAGATAATTAAAGATTCGTAATGCATCCCTGCGAAGCTGGAACAAGTGTACTCTATATATATATATATATATATATATAGTAGTACATGAACGAAACACCGATAACAAACTAAAAATTAGTCCGTGAGACGGCGATAGGCTAATACCCTGCCGATGAATGCAAATAATGTACAAAATAAAGAAATGTGGTGAAAGAAATATCAAGTATTGAATTCACCACCACGCCGAAAGTTGTCATTGCTCCTGACTATACAATAGTCGTGATCGTACATTATCCGTCATACTCGTGAACGAGTTCTGGTTGCGGGGCCACTCCAAGCAGCTGTTCGGGTAACGAACACAGATTAGACTATTTCCTTTGTCAATAGCATATGCTGATGGTCACTCTATTGTACCAAATTTGAATTTAAAAATGAATCTGTGTCATTGTAATCATGTACGTTTATTTGAAAAGACTATGAGCTGAGATTCTTGTCAGTTCTTCTCATCTTAAAATCATTCCGAACTGATAGTAGTTTTGACATATGTATCATAAGAGTCTATAATGGAACTACATGAATAAAATTATTTTCAATTTTAGTAATTATTATGAAAAAACGGTACATAACCTTGTTCGACAAAGCTTAGTAGCATATCGATTCTATATATAGTATATGTAACACGTAAAAATATATCGCTACATGAAATCCAAATAATCTCAGTTTCGTTTTAAGATAAAAATTATAATAATTTGTATTTAAACTATTTCTTTATTTAAAATCTTTATGATAATTATGATACTCTGAATAATTAATTATGTTAATGAATATTATCATTTTATTTTAATACATATAAATAAAATTGGAGTGTATGTTTGTAATATTGAAATAACCGTTTTTTACTATACCACAATAACATTTTTTACTATTTTGTCTGTTTGTTCCATCTAATCTCTGAAATAGCTGGACCGATTTTGACGGGACTTTTTTTGGCAGGTAGCTGATGTAATAAGGAGTAACTTAGGCTACTTTTATTTTTGAAAAATAAAGTTAAATCCCACGCGGACAAAGTAAACAAATATAATTATTTCGATTCCCTATACGTCTTTATATTCATAATAGCAATTGAAAGTAAAGCAGTGTTCTAAACAGCTACACCACCGAAACCGAATAGTAAAAAAAAATTTACAAAACGTTTACAATTTCGATACATGTGTACGCTTTTACAAAACTCGTTTGCAATCATATTTTCGGAATGTTCACTAACCTAGACACAAGTAGTAATTAACTTGTAGAATGTTTAATTTGAGTTCAAATTTAGAACAGTTGACCCCATTGCTAGCGATGTACCATGTCAGGTTGACCTCCACGCGGTTCCCCCTGGAAACCATCGTGATAAATTCCTGATTAATTTGTCAATTTGTCACTGGTGCCCCGCCAGCGTAAACCGTTAGCGCAGAAGGGTGCACCATTCAATTATCATGCCTAAAAAAAAAACGCCTTCCAGGAATCTTTATCAGATCGTCGGTCCGCTTTGCTTGAGGCCTTCCCACGCTGCGTCTTCCGGTCCGCGGTCTCCACTCGAGGACTTTATTGCCCCACGGCCATCTGTCCTACGAGCTATGTGCCCTGCCCATTGCCACTTCAGTGTCGCTTCGGGTTATGTCGGTCACTCTAGTCATTCTGCGGATCTCATTTCTGATTCGGTCACGCAAATAAACTCCGAGCATAGCCCTCTCTATTTACGTCAACAGTATACAGAGAAAATATTTAATGAAATTCATTGTTATTGACCTAGGTTAGCATTTTTTTGTAATTGGACGCGTGCCGTTAATACCTCTAATTTATAGATTCTTGTAGATCAGTAAAAATGATAAATACCTAGTGAATAATTGCAAAATTACTAATTCGCGACTACTGACGTAGTTACTACCTGTTGAATTAATAAATATTCATTGACTTGTATTGTTATTATAACCTTAACTTACGATAAATCAGTTATTTATTTAGCATAAATACACAAATAAAGATGTACATTGTGGAGTTGAAATCCAAAGACATTTTCTCTCTTAACCATAGAGATCAAATCATTTAGCGGAGAATAAAATCCGCATTTAAATAGCAACACCTGTTAACAATTAAAAAAATATTTTTTTTCGGACTACTGTAATGCTGTTGGCCGCAGCTGGCCTTTACAGCTTCACCGGACGTTAGGGGGCGAGTGCAGATGGCACTCCAAACCCGCGGAAGGACTTATGGAGCGGCTGAAGGCCAACTCCTGCCTGACGGATACGACTTTAGTCTGAGCCGTCGTAATTTCGATCCCCGTTTGAATTGGACGGGGGATCGATCGGAGGGGTTAAATATATATATATATATTATATTCTAAAGACGCCATTGCTAACAAAATTTCTAACATGTATCACATAATCTTGTACATAATCTTGTATTTAAAAAGGCAATATAGAATACATAATAATGTATTTTATTTACGTATGTATAGTTTATTGTCTACATATATGAGAATGCTTTAGGCTCCACATTTTAGGTATATTCCATTGAAAAGTTTTCTGTCTGTATGTCAAGCCGAGTACGCGGTTTGATGACATTCTTGCATGTAATATAGAGGATTCACATAGGAGTTTAAGAAATTTGAGACGATAAAAATAAATACTAATTATAGATATCAAAGTCCATTCAGGATTGACGAAGTTAATTTCTTCCTTACTGAAATCGATTAATTTAAGTACTTAGGAATAAAATGTAGGCGAGTTCACGGGCACAGCTAGCTGACTAACAAAACTAAAATATGTCTAAGATGTCATATCCTTATGTACAAATCTAAATCTTATCTTAATATAAATAAAACTAAATCTTACATAAATATATATATTTAACTCATATCAGAATCATTAATCATTTTCCTTTTAGTATCCTTATCAGTTTCATTATAACTATGATACTTACCATTATTGAAATAATCTTCAATTTCGACCAATGTCTTATTTTTAGTTTCAGGCAACATAAAATATAATAACAACAGTGATATGGCTACGAATCCACCATAAACTGTAAACGTGCCATGCACGCTAATATTTTCCAATAAATAAGGAGTCATTTTTAAAGCTATCATTAAGAACAATGATAAAATTAGGCCACATAATGATGAACCAACACTCCTGTGACTTAAAGGTAATATTTCTCCTAATATAATATAAGGTATTGGTGTACAACATAAATTAACTAAAATAAAAAATATAACAAACATTGAAAGCGGTATCCATGGGCGATCTTTAGAAATCAAGTCTTTGAATACTAATAACAAATAAAGACAAGCACTTGTTAATACAGCAAGAGCTGGAATACCTGTAGTGAATAGTAATGTTCTTAAATTTATTACTTTAACTAAAATTGATGAAGATATAATACTAGACATAATTATTAAGTCAATAGATAATGTGTAATAGAAGGATTGCGTCTTATCACCAATGAGAGAATCAATAATTTGCATAGCATACGCTGGAAAAAAATGTCTTCCACAGGCTTCTGACAATATCCCAGTTAATACAATAATTATTATAGGTTTGACGAAATCTTTCCTCGTGAATTTTTTTAGGAGCTCCTTCAGAAAAATTATTACCGTTGATTCCTCTTTCAATTTGTAAAGACTTATCTCTTGTGTTTTAAACAGTTCTGATAACTCTAATATTTGTCTCTCTTCTGATCCCCTCAACCAAATGAATGTTTCTTTTGCTTTTTGAAATTGTCCTTTAGACGCCAACCAAGCTGGGCTCTCTTGCCAAGTGTAAATAATCACTAGCGCTACTAATTGCGGTATTAAACCAATTATAGCTATAGTTCTCCAACTGAAGAAATTGTTTAAAATATGCACAACCATATTTCCTAAACATACTGACGCAGATTTAAGATTTAGGAACATTCCTCTGACTTCTGGGCTAGTGTATTCTCCAATAACAATGGCCCCCAACGTAACCGTAGCACCGGCAGTGATTCCTGCTAAAATTCTTCCGATCATTAGAGTTAGGATGTTGTAAGAGAAGTAAATAAAAAGCCAACCAGAGATTCCTGGGAGAATGACCAACATGTGGGTAATACGTCGGCCAAAACGATCCATTAATGATGATGAGATTAGGAAACCCAACATACTCGATAAGCCCACAGATGATGCTGAAAATATAGAATAAAATACTTTTAATTGTATATTACACAAGTGTACACACAACTATTAGACAAATACAGGATGCTGTGTTTGGAACGTAGAAGAATTTTGCTTAATACTAATATAAAATGCAAATACATTTGATTGTACTGAGTTAACTAATAGCTGTGCTACGTGGTGCCAACCAGTGTGCAAAGGGATATTCTTCACCCCAACCTATCGGACGTACGCCGGTGCACGAGCGCCTCTTCACCATATTGTTGATGTATTTAACACCAAATTTCCTGATTTAGATATATTTGATTTGTCATACTTTAAATTTAAGAAAACCCTATTAGACATATTAAGTATAAATAAATAATGTATATAATAATAAGAGTAACATAACATAAGTAAACCCGTGGATATCTGTATTGGTTTTACTATTATTAAATCTATGTACTTATATATATACTACATTGTGAAACTGTTTCTATCCCAAATAAAATAAAATAAAATAAAATTATAAGCAGGGTAATCTGTAAATGCTATTATTAGAATGAAAGGATATAATAGGATGGCTTACATATGTCAATTTATCATTTACCTTTCATTACTATTAATTAAAAATAAATATATATCTCAATGTGCTCACATAAATATAATAGATAAGAATATTGTTCTTCCATTACATTTTACTAATATTATAAACCCGGAAGTTTGTTACTCTGTCACGCAAAAATTACTAAATGGATTTTAATGAATCTTTACAATAATATAGCTTATACATCAGAAGAATAAATAGGCTACAGATTTTACCGCGATGCAGCTATGTAGTCTAATAAAATTATTAGTGCAATATTGTACACTGATATTGAAATTAATGCAATTAACCGAGTTTTTAATTAGATTGATTTATAGATGAAATATATCAATATGTGTGGTAAAGAATAAAAAAGAAAAGGTTAGGAATGTTTTGATATTAGTCTTCAGGGAAGGACTATGTTCAACAGTAGATTTTTAACAGAATTATTCTCTCATCTGCGGAGGAGCCAGTATTGGTCACACTATAGCCCCATCTGTGAGAAGTCCTGTAATTGGTCTCGCAGAAGGAGCGTTAATGCCATATTGATGACTAACAGTTGAAAGGTTATTCAAATTCAGATTCGAAATATTTTTATTCTTGTAGGTCTATTACAGACTCTTATGATATGTTAAATCTTCCGTCAGTTCAGAATGAGTTCGTAGCTCAGCTAGCGTTCTCAACTCATATTCTTTTCAAATAAATGTTCTATGTTCACGGATATACGGATTCATTCTTAAATTCAAATTTGGGAGAATTATATTTGCTATTGAAAAAGTAAATAGTCTAATTAGTGTGTCGTAACCAGAATAGATCAGTCCCCACAAGCAGCACCCGTTCACGAGTATGAGACAGCCATCATTGCATTCAACCATATTAGAGGAAGCATATTGACCGGGCCCACCACGCCGCCACAAGTTTGAACTTTATAGCGTTAATAATAATGATTTTGCTTACCTAACCACGAAGCAGTTTCAAGATCAGCTTTTATTGCTGAATCCGGCTCCCGAAGAGCTGGAAGGAGGCACGAGGAATAGCTCAGCACCATCCCTTGTGCCAACATATTTGCGAACACACCACACACAGTCCATATCTGTAATAAGACAAACAAATACTTTAAAATTATTAGGAGTCATTTTTTTTTCAAAAGAATTTCCGACACAGCTGATAATTAAATTTAAAACAAAAAATTAAAAAAAAATTCAGATTTCAGATTTTGATTTAAAAATTCTCTTACAATTAGCATATAGCGGTTCGAGATGCGAGAAGCATAGATAGGTATAGGTAGAACGTAAACATACCACATTTTTTATTTTCTGAGTGAATTAAGTTTTTTTTTTTTGTAAAATGAAAAATGTTTGAATAAATAATGCATTCAATTAAAATGTACCTAACGTAATCATATATTGATTTGCAGTATATCTGCGAAATAAAAGGAATGTGTGGAAAAACGTACGGCCCGTAAAACTTCAAGTAAAAATATTGTAACGATAAGCATATTTTCTTTCTTACTTTTCTTCAAATTAAATCACTTTTTTGTTTTCTAACAGATGGAGAGATGGAGGGCAAAGGTAACAATTATAGTCCAGTAATTTTTTTTATTAAACGTGATGTGACCAGATTTAGATATAAAAATAAGTTTGCAAGTTCGTGTTAATAATATTCAGAAAGAAATTTTGATTTCCATTAACAGGAAAGTAATGAAAAAATTTAAAAAAACGGTTGGAAAAAGCCTTTTTTTCAACATAACTCGATAATGGTAAGAAATATGAAAAAAATATTTTAAATAAAAGTTGTAGAGAAAACAATTCTGCTGTCTCATCACAAGAAGAATGAGCAAGAAACTTGCTTAGCAACAAGCAAGCTTTTATCATTATAACTTTACATTTCCAATTCGAAACCTACGAATACAAACTACCAACTAGCACTAATATATTAGGGTCTGATATTAAATACACAATACGATTATAACAGTCGAGTGATTAGAGCAAACCAATCCCTACAAGCAGCCCTCGTTCACGAGTATGACGTATGATAGCCGTCACTTCGCTCGACCATTTTTAGGGAACTAATATTAAACTATATTATTTACTGATATATGTTAATTGTGACGCCGCGGCGCCGACGTCATACTCGTAAACGAAGGCTGCTTTTAGAGACTGCTCTGCTCGCAACTCTGAAATCGCATCGACATTGGAACTTTGTTGCCTATGTCCACTAACTTTCAATGTGGGCCCACTGTGCACCGGTGTCAGAGACGTTGAAGAGTCTATCGCGGTATAGACATGTAATGCGTAGGAATGAAGATAATATTTCAAGGAAGGTGTTACATATGAATGTGGTTGGTTATAAGAGCAGAGGAAGGCCGAAAAAGAGATAGATGGACTGTGTGAAAGATGATATGGTAAGAAAGGAAGTAAACAACGAGATGACTGCGGACAGAATAGAATAGAATAGAATAGAAAATCATTTATTCAAATAAACTTACATTGAAGCACTTTTGAATAGTCATAACATTTTTTTTTTTTAATCTACCGCTCATTCGGAATGCTGTCTCATCACAAGAAGAACAAACAAGAAACTTGTGTGTTGCTCTTTTAAATAATTTATTCTTACATACAATTTAAGTTTAAGTGTGTGAATACAAACCACCGATTAGCACTAATTCAATTAAATACTCAAAAAGAAAAAAATATTGAATACATAACCAACTGGTTAAACAATTAATAAGAGGAAATCAGTCATAGTGATTAGAGCAGACCAGTCCCTACAAGCAGCACCCGTTCACGAGTATGACGGATGAGCCAGCCATCACTGCGCTCGACCATATTTTAGGGAGCCCAATGACCCGGCCCACCACGCCGCCACAAGTCTGGACATTTTAGTGAGCATGACTACTCAAAACACCAGACCACGTCATAGCTACTCACAATTGCCATCTGATGTTTATAGTATTCACATTTCACATAAGAATGCATGCGGCAATTAATACAAAACCCGCTACGCTTTCATATTTCTAAAATAATTGAATCAAGAAAGCAATGAGATAAACAAATTATAACGTTGTACAGAGATGAATGGAAGAGAAAAATATATTACGCCGACCCCAAATAAATGGGATAAGGAAGAAGCAGATGATGATAATTGTTAATTGCTACAGTCTAATCGATAATTACGCTACTTTGTACTAAGAATCGTAGTGATCGATAACAATTAAACGTATTCATTACTTTCCTGTTACACTTCTAAGATTGTAATACTATTGAATCACTAATTAATCTATTCATCATCTAACTTGAGTTATATCTAATTACTAGCTGTCCCCGCGACTTCGTTCGCATGGAATTTAAGTGTATTTTTCTAAAATAACAGTAACCTATCTAACTCGAGTTATGTCTAATTACTAGCTGTTCCCGCGACTTCGTCCGCGTGGAATTTAAGTGTATTTTTCTAAAATAACAGTAGCCTATCTACCTTGAGTTATGTCTAATTACTGGCTGTTCCCGCGACTTCGTCCGCGTGGAATTTAAGTGTATTTTTCTAAAATAACAGTAGCCTATCTACCTTGAGTTATGTCTAATTACTGGCTGTTCCCGCGACTTCGTCCGCGTGGAATTTTAGTGTATTTTTCTAAAATAACAGTAGCCTATCTAACTCGAGTTATATTTAATTACTAGCTGTTCCTGCGACTTCGTCCGCGTGGAATTTTAGTGTATTTTTCTAAAATAACAGTAGCCTATCTAGTTTCGAGTTATATTTAATTACTAGCTGTTCCCGCGACTTCGTCCGCGTGGAATTTAAGTTTATTTTCTTAAATAACAGTAGCCTATCTAGTTTCGAGTTATATTTAATTTATTTCCCGCGACATCGTGTGGAATTTAAGATATATATAAAGCCTATCTAGTTTCGAGTTATATTTAAATATTCCGTCCGCGTGGAATTTATGTTTATATTTCTAAAATAAAAGTAGCCTAAGTTACTCCTTATTACATCAGCTACCTGCCAATAAAAGTCCCGTCAAAATTGGTCCAGCCATTTCAGAGATTAACAGACGGACTGACAAAAATTGTAAAAAATGTTATTTTGGTGTATGTACCTACCGTATATATATTCATATGCATGTAGTAAAAAACTGTTATTTCAATATTACAAAAAGACACTCCAATTTTATTTATATGTATAGATATATATAAAACTGCTAAATATTCCTGTATAGATGAAAATGAAAACTACAAATAATCAAAATTGAACAATTTATATTATTACTAGCTGTCCCGGCAAACTTTGTTTTGCTATATACATTAAAATTGCTATTAAAAAATAGGGGTTGATGCTAGAAGGGTGAAAACTTTAGGATTGCATGTATTTTAAGGACAGTTAGAGGTGGACATTACCAGTTAGGGGTATGAAAAATAGATAGTAGCCGATTCACAGACCAACTGAATATGGATATAAAATTTCATAAAAATCGAGAGTTTTATATTCTTGGAGATCTGTAGTACAGGTTTCGACTTAGTTCAGACAAATTCAATTAGTGCTAATTGGTGGTTTGTATTCACACACTTATACTTAAAAATGTAAAGTAATAATAAAATTATTTCTCACAAGTTTCAATATTTTGTAAGATTATTATTATTATTATTATATATAAGATATATTAAGAGCAGAGACCCGGCCACGCATTGCTGTGGCCAAGGTTCTTGTTATATTAAATAATATTGCAACTATAAATTAAGATGTAAGCTATCCTATCTTTCAAGTTGGATCAAATTGCACACAATGTGCAAATCAAATTTGCAATCGGTTCAGTAGTTTAGGAGTCCATCGCGGACAAACATCGTGACACGTAATTTTTATATAACAGATTATTAACTAGTACTCGCCCAATGGATGCCCATACTTAATTTAACTGCATGTTATTTTAAATAACAATAATAATAATATATAATATACAATAATATAATATAATAATAATTATTTAAAATAGCATTTATTCAGTAGAGCAACACACAAGTTTATTGCTCATTCTTCAATGAGTGGTAGAATAAAAAAATATGACTATTCAAAAGTGCTTTATTGGAATCCAAATTACTTCTATTTTTGGTGGCTCAATAACTTAATAACCAATAAATAATGCGTTAGTACAGAATAGAATTTATAGAAAAACTTTAAATCTATAGCACTGACAATACTATCCGATTACATTAATAATGAGTGCGTAGCGACTTCTATGTTGATTATCGCATGCCTCTTACTTGTTATACTGTAATTATTTATATAAAAAAAAACATCTATTAATGTGTGAATGTGATGAATCTGCATTCCGAATGAGTGGTAGAATCAAAATATGACTATTCAAATGTGCTTGTAATGAGTTTATTTGAATAAAGATTATTTCTATTTCTATTTCTATAATAAAGAACTTTTTTTTATATAGAGAGAAACCTGCGTAATGCTACGGCTACCTTTAACCATCGCCATCGACAAGGAATGCATGCCCATACGCCAGAACCCAAGTGGTCTCGGACAGTGCGATTTCACAGCTTCCTTCCGCGCACACTTACATTGTGCAAAGAACTTCCGGCCGAGGTTTTCTCACGAGACTACAACGTGGGGTTTTTCAAGAAGAGAATTTAAGGTTTTGTAACGCGCACGTGATATCCCTGGTGTTTCAGGATACGGTAACTATTTACCATCAGTCAGGCCGTATGCTTATTTGCCGCTATCGTATATAAAAAAAAAATCTTTCACGTACCTGTCGGATTAAAGGAGAGCCCATGTCTTCCTTCCAAAGAGTTTGCTACAGAATTGTCGCAATCTCCACCTTGTAATCTCAATACAATCACTTTATTAGAATAGATTTGTAAACAATCAGATCCAATTATAGGTACCTATGACACGAACATTATCGCCTTCCAACTAAACCATAAATTTATACCTCGACCAGACACTGTCTAATCACTCCTACATTACACTCCTACGTACAAATATACTCATAAATACAAATATCCGTCATACTCGTGAACGGGTGCTGCTTGTAGGGACTGGTCTGCTCTAATCACTATGACTCATTTCCTCTTATTAATTGTTTAACCAGTTGTTTATATATTCAATATTTTTTCTATTTGAGTATTTAATTGAATTAGTGCTAATTGGTGGTTTGTATTCACACACTTAAACTTAAAAATGTAAAGTAATAATAAAATTATTTAAAAGAGCAACACGCAAGTTTCATGCTCGTTCTTCTTGTGATGAGACAGCATTCCGAATGAGCGGTAGATTAAAAAAATGTAATAACTATTCAAAAGTGCTTCAATGTAAGTTCATTTGAATAAATGATTTTCTATTCTATTCCTCTCCATCCTAAGGTTGCCTGGAAGAATATTAACCGGGTCTTAACACGAATAATTTTATGGCAAATAAAGGTATTTACCTCTCTCGACGTTTCGACTAGGTTGCACTAGCCGTGGTCACGAGCTGTCTGGAGTAACAGCGATGTCAATGTAGATAGGTGACAGCAGTTTTTTCTTCATCTACCGTCACTGTTTAACGAAAGTTCGCAACACACAGCACTCACGGTATCCGTACACTTATTGACTATTGATGCTACTGAACTTTGCTTGAATTTATTTATGACTGGATTCCACGCAGATGATAATTTTAAGCCATCCTCTCTGTTGAAATTGGGATGTTTTTTAATTTCAATCGCCTCCCGGACCATTCGTGGGTAATAGTGGCGATCAGTAGAGAGGACCTTACGCGCATGTAGTTCAATCCAGTGATTTGTTCCAGCGCTCAGTAGATGATCGGCAATCGCTGATTTGTGTGGTTGTTGATTTTTAACCGCTGCGATGTGCTCTTTGACTCTCTCGGCTATTGATCGTTTTGTTTGGCCAATATAAGAGCTACCACAACTACAGTCAATTTTGTAGACATCTGGAGCTTCGTAAGGTAGCTTATCCTTTGGTGAACGTAAATTGTTCGTTACTTTTGAGGGCGGATAATATACAGTCTTAATGGAGTATTTATTTAGTGCTGTTCCAATTTTGTCCGTTATTCCTCTTAAGTAAGTCATGTACGCTGGCTGTCTGTTCACGTCAGGTTTTCTAGCTTTTGTTACGCGCTTATTTTGCCTTCTACTCATTATGTAACCGTTTATCTTGAGTAATTCTTGAACGTGGGATAGTTTTAGATTCTAGTTGTTATATTTTTCTATGAGAGGAACAATAAAGTGTTTTTTATTCATTCATTTCATTTCATAACCCATAGTTTTGTCTAAGTTTTCGCAGTATTTTTATGGATGACTAGCTGTACCCGCGACTTCGTCCACATGGAATATAACTTTATTTTTCTAAAATGAAAGAATTTTTCTAAAATAAAAGTAATCTAAGTTATTCCATATTACATCAGCTATCTGCCAAAAAAAGTCACGTCAAAGTCGTTCCAGCCATTTCAGAGATTAGCCGGAACAAACAGACACTCCAATTTTATTTATATGTATAGATAAGGAATGGTACACCAGTCTTTGCTAACGGTACGAAGCACCAGTAATATTTGTTTTATCGGGATACGAATAAAGATTTTTATCTTATCTTATCTTATCTAATATTGTCCTTGAACAAATTACACAGCCCCATCTGATCCCAAGCTAAGCAGAGCTTTTGTTATGGGTACTAGATATATGACATAAATACTTAGATTTTTTTATAAATACGTAGAAAACTTATTAAGCTTAATCCCCGGACAATTCACACAGCGCCATCTAGTCGCAAGCTAAGCTGAGCTTGTGTTATGGGTAGATAGATAGATATATCGTTTATTTTATGTTCATATGTATACAACATAAGATTTATAAAATTGTGTTATTATGTGTATCTGTACACGTGGAACAATGTTCAGGGAACAAAACACTGATTTTCCGCTTTAACCCATTTGGGGGTACGTGAAAATAATAATTAAAATGGATATAAAACAAAAAGAGCAATATTATTGATGACTGTCTGTGCGTGTGTATAATGTAAATAGTTCAGAGTATAATTTGATATAATTTTAACTGAGTGGTAAGGATTAAACGAAAAAAAAAAGAAAATATTACTAAGAAAAACATAGAAAAAAAATACTAGCTACTAGACAACTGATATTTTTTATATAAATACATAATATACAAAAAAAAAACAAATATTTTTGATTCAATCCGAGCGAAGCGTAAATAACAAGATGACTGCGAGCAGATATGAATGGAAGATAAGAACATATTACGCCGACCACAAATAAATGATATAAGAAAGAAGCAGATGATGATAATATACAAAAAAAACCCTGACCGATGCAAACAATCATACTCATGAGTACAACTGTTTGTAACGTGCGAGGAATCGAACCCGCGACCCTCGGTAATAAACCGCTAGACCATCAAAGCCGTCAACAGTACATCTACAGCCGTGCAAAGCCGGGGCTAGTAAACTGTAAATCCTTTGTAATCTGCTAAACTTCTTGCAATATTTTCTCGGTAATGACTCGAAGTGTTCTTGTACCGAGTCAAGGTGAGTATCACTATGACGTTTTCCGCAGTAATTCAATTTGAAAATTCGCCACCATAATTTATCACGCAACGGATATTATTCAGTAACATTGAGGTACAATACGTGAGTACTCACTAGAGATGATGTTACATGCAAATGTGTGGCGAATTTACTGTTAGTAAATTGACACACGCGGCAAAACTGTTGTCTAGTTACAGCGCAAATTAAAATGAATATTGCTTATATCTGAAAATATTTAATTGCGTTAAAAATGAGTGCGTAGCAGTTTCTGTATTACTTATCGCATGCCTCTTACTTGTAAAAGGAGAGATGAAATTTTTCATTGCTTCTTAATATTCTCTGGGGATGTTGTAAAGAGTTACTTCACCCGTTTCCTTTATCCCTTTCCTAATAAATATACAGCATTTATTTTTGTCTAGATATTTGCTTACTAGCTGCACCCGCGCCTCGTCCGCGTAGAATTTAACTTTATTTTTCTAAAATAAAAGATTTTTTTCTAAGGTAAAAGTAGCCTAAGTCACTTCAAGTATGTAATATTATGTTATCTGTGCTTCAAGCTTTATTACATCAGCTACCTGCCAAAAAAGTCCCGTTAAAATTGGTCTAGCGATTTCAGAGATTAGCCGGAATAAACAGACCAACAGACAGACAAAAATGATAAAAAATGTTATTTTGGTATATGTACTGTATATATATTCATATGTATGTAGTAAAAAACGGTTATTTCAATAATACAAACAGACACTCCAATTTTACTTATATGTATAGAATTATAATTAAATCAAAATATCTTTGTCTACTACATCAGTCTACAACAATCTACAATTTGATTTAAAGTAAAATGTACCGTTAGTTGGGAAAGTAGTTCAGTGCTAAGAAACTCGGCTCCTTATTTTTTTTACTTTATTTATTAAATTTAATTAGTGAGAATGTAGTTCAAAACAACACGTGCTTTAGTCACACCTGTCCCTGATTCAGACAAACAAACTCACTTAACACAACTACTGTACGCCCTCACAGATTTTTTTTTTCGGACTACTCTAATGCTGTTGGCCGCAGCTGGCCTTTACAGCTTCACCGGACGTTAGGGGGCGAGTGCAGATGGCACTCCAAACCCGCGGAAGCACTTCTGGAGCGGCTGAAGGCTAACTCCTGCCTGACGGATATGACTTTAATCTGAGGGCACCACTAGGGGTTCGAACCTCGGCTCAGGCCGTCGTAATATCGATACCCGTTTGAATTGGACGGGGGATCGATTTGAGGGGGCCCTCACAGATATATCAGCTTACACTTCTATTTGTTTCTGCCTTCTTACAATCCCTTATATTATATTGATAGCTCTTTCTATTATTCTATACTAGCTACTTGCCCCGGCTTCGCACGTGTGTACATGAATTATATATATAAACCTTCCTCTTGAATCACTCTATCAATTAAAAAAACCGCTTCAAAATCCGTTGCGTAACTCAAAGATTTAAGCATACACAGGGACAAACAGCGACAGCGACTTTGTTTTATACTATGTAATGATAATGATTACTCTAAATTCATTTCTAAAACCACTGTATCTACATCAGCTGATTTGTGGTACTAACACCGCAGTTGGTTTGTAGTGTCTTTTCTAGTATGGTAATGTTAATCAATGTATAGTTTAAATACCTCAGTTTATATGAAAACTAAACTTTACTGAACCTTCGATTGGCTGAAGATTACAATCCTCGAATACTAAAATGCATCTGTAGATAACATTATATTTACTAATAATAAATGCATTACTCAGGGTTATATTCCAGAATTAAAACACATTAATAGTCACACGCGGAGGTCTACCTGACATGGTATATTGCTAGCAATGGGATGACCCCATTACTAACAATCCCTCTTCCCCAAATAGTCACTATTTGTAACAATGTTGAAATCATCAAAGCTATAACTATTTAAAAACTATAGCTATTTAAAAAGGTAAAAATCATCAGCATTTTTAGCTTTTTAAATAGCTATAGTTTCGTAACCTGTATGACTTATTCTATCTCCTTCTTCCTTCCTTCTATCTCTTTCCCTCTTCCTTTCAAGTTTCCGGTTTATCGTCGATTTTTGGGACTGCCTATATGTTGTATGCATTTTTATTTCGGACTACTCTAAGGCGAGACTACACGAGGCGAGTGCAGGTGGCATTCCAAACCCACAGGACTTATGGAGCGGCTGAAGGAAGCAACTCCCGCTTGACGGATACGACTTTAGTCTGACCGCACCGCTAGGGGTTGGAACCTCGGCTCAGGCCGTCGTAACTTCGATTGGACGGAGGATCAATCGGAGGCAGTCCCTAAAATCTTACGTAAGCACTACATATCACGTTATCATGTGACAACCGTGATACACATACGTCATTCCGTGAGACTAAAATGTCATGCCACTTTTCCTGTAATTTGAATTTTAATTATTTTCTTGTACATTGTTTTTTAAAGATGTTACAATAAAAATAAAGTCCGAATAAAGTAAATGTTCGCTTCACAATCAGAAGGTATGTAAATTAAAATTCACTACTTCATTCGTTGGAAAAAAAATAAGGAAGTGATTTTTTTTATTGAGGTAATGTATGCCGCTGCATATTTGTATTATTTGTTTCTTTTGTACAAACATGTTTTGTATTTAATTAATTAAAGTAGTTAACCTTTGTTCAAATTTTTTCTTTTTTGGATGATTATTTTTTTAATGGAAGTGCTCCTACCTGCTCTAACGGTTTACGATGACTGGGCACCAGTGGAGCATATGAGAATTAGAATGAGCATTAGGTCAGGTCAATTAGCCCATGGAGAATTCACCAAGATGGTTTCTAAGCTGAGCTAACGGTATATGCTGTCGAGCTAGCAGTAGAGGATGATAGGATGATCATGATGAGGACGAGGTCGGATCAGTTAGTCCATATTAAATTCAAGATGGTTTCCAGGAGGAACTGCGTGGAGGTTCTTGTTATTTATATTATAGATTTTTTAATAGTAAAATTTTGTCCAAAAAATAAAAAATAAAATGTTAGGGGTGTACAACTCTTATCATTTAAGAGTATGAAAAATAGATAGTAGCCGATTCTCAGATCTACTGAATATGCATATAAAATTTCATAAAAATCGGTCAAGCCGATTCGGAGGAGTAACATTGTGACATTAGAATTTTATATATTAGACTACTCGCCCTGGCTTTGCACAGCTGTATTATATACCTTCCTCTTGAATAACTCTACCTATTAAAAAAACCTCTTCAAAATCCGTTGCGTAGTTTTAAAGATTTAAGCATACACAGATACAGACAGCGACAGCGACTGTTTTATACTATGTAATGATTTTCAGGGTATATTTTTTATGTGGGTAATAAAACACTAAATCGTTCTTTTTAATTATTTTTAATAGAATATTTTTGTATAAAAGAAATATTAAATAATACTGTACCACAATACGTACGTAGTAAATAATACACGCACACGTATGAGTATATATATGTATGTATATTCTAGAAGAGTAATTAATTGATAAAATAATTCCTTGAGAGATCTATGACTCATTTGAGAGGAACTTTTATTTCCTGTAACTAGTAGAGCAGCAACAGGATAACGGCCCACAAGATGGAATTATGTCATCGTCGTATATAAACAAAATAACCACAAAATTCACAAAATATATATTTGATACCCTTCATTCGTCTCTGAGGAGTGTACTGTGCCTCTATTTACTATAATTACACTGATGTTTCTCTTTCTTTAACTGAAACACAGATGGCAATACTTTCAGAATTAAGTAAGACTATGGTAACCACGCAAACGCCTTTATTCAAAGTGAAATCTGCATAAAATCCATAAACAATCACACAATACTTCTATAGATACATCATCAACTTTGAAAATCTAACTAATCATTTTTAACTTTACTTCATCATCATTTTCATCACGCCTAACATTTTTAAATGTACCATAATTAAAGTAATCATCGATTTCCTGTAAAGTCTTGTCTTTAGTTTCAGGAAGTATGAAGAGTAAAATCAACAAAACAATTCCAGTAGTCGCGCCAAGAATTGCAAACGTACCATAAACTTTAACACTAATCATTAAATATGGAGCAATTTGTAGCCCTATATTTAGAAAGATGGACATAAAAATTCCTGCACAGCAGGATCCTACACTCCTATGAGCTAATGGGAATATTTCCCCAACTAATGCCAATGGTATAGGCGTACACCCTAAATTTGCTAACACGAAATATGCTACAAACATTACTATTGGGATCCACGTGTAATTATTCGAAATTACATCTCTAGATACTAAAAACAAATATAGGCATACACACAAAAGTATAGCTACAGCAGAAAATCCACTCACAAAAAGCAAAGTCCTTCTTTTAAACATTTTTACCAATACAGACGAAAACGTGGCACTAGCAGTGATTATTATGTCTATAGCTAAAGTGTAGTAAAAAGACTGCGAGCTATCACCAGTTATCTCGTTAATGACGGTTAATGCGTAAGCTGGAAAAATATGTCTTCCAGAAGACTCTAAAAGTATCCCGCCAAGGACAACGATTAGAAGAGGCTTGGAGAAATCTTTCCTCATTACTTTTCTAAGAAATCCTTTTATATGATCGCCCAATGTTATATTATTGGACGCTTGAGATAAATTTGCCTTCTGTGCACTCAAGAGGTCTTCGATTTCTTTTCTAGATTGCGGTGATTCTCCTCGAAGCCAGTAGAATGCTTTCTCACTTTTCTCAAATTGTTTCTTCAACGCCAACCACGAAGGACTTTCAGGCCAAGAACAGATGATGCCTAAAGCTAAAATATGGGGTACTAGAGCCACAAGAGCGATAGTTCTCCAATGCAAGTAATGTCCCAATGTATGCACCACCATAGCTCCCATACAGACTGAAGCTGTTTTCAAATTGAGGAACATTCCACGATGTTTAGGATCTGTATATTCACCGATGACTACGGCACCTAGAACTACAGTGCCACCGGCAGTCATCCCTCCCAGAATGCGGGCAGTCATCAGCATTGGGATGTTGTTAGCGGTGTAGACTAATGACCATCCAATTGTTCCTGGTATAATAATAAGAGCATGCGCCACTTTTCGTCCCCAGATATCCATGAAGTATGACGACATCAAGAATCCTGGCATTCCAGCCAACCCCACAGATGATGCTGTGGAATAAAGAAAATAATAAAATCGTTTTAAAAATGTCTTTTATGATTTGTATTTTTAAAGAATATCGCGGTCTAATCAGCTTTGCTGCAAAATCAGCAAAAACACAGTTTGTTTTATAAGCTGTGTTGATATTTTTGTAGACAAAATGTAACTTAAAATTTATAGAGCTGACAATATTATCTGATAGCACAAAGATTGAATTCAATGTACAGTTGAACAAGTACATCCGTTTTGTTTTAGTTTGCAACTGTGCCACTAGATGGCGCTCATTTGTTATATTCATTTTTCTACATCTCGATGTTAAGATTTCTTTTTGAGTCGTTATAAGCGTTTCGATTATATTAAATAAACACTCCTCCGATCGATCCCCCGTCCAATTCAAACGGGGATCGAAATTACCACGGCCTGAGCCGAGGTTCGAACCCCTAGTGGTGCCCTCAGACTAAAGTCGTATCCGTCGGGCAGGAGTTGGCCTTCAGCCGCTCCATAAGTCCTTCCGCGGGTTTGGAGTGCCATCTGCACTCGCCCCATAACGTCCGGTGAAGCTGTAAAGGCCAGCTACGGCCAACAGCATTAGAGTAGTCCGAAAAAAAAAAAAATTAAATAAACATGAAAATGTATATAACAACCCAGTTTAATTTATTGACTAATAATTTAACCTAAGTACACCCTCAGAGATTTAAACATATTCTAGACCCGAGTTCAGCTAGTTAAAGCTTGTATTAATAGCACTAGATAACTGATAAATATATAGATTTTTTATAAATGCATACATATTATACATAGAAAACACCCAGACCGACACAAGCAATCATCATGAATACAAATGTTTGTGCCGTGCGAGGAATCAAACCCGCGACAATCCGAAACCGCTAGCCCATCGAGGCTATCATATATTTAAAATACTCTTTGCCATAACGGCTATTTCTTATTTACATACGACAATATTCTTTCATAGATAAGACATAGATATTTGATGGCCCGTAAAATAATTATACACTAGCAAAATATATAGTGAAAATATATAAATTGACTCATAACTAAGCATAAAAAGAAGTAGGTGAAGGTAAACATGTATGTACATAAAATTAGTAAAAATTACGATATCTTACTATGTTTTTTTTTATTGTGTTTCATGATCATGGGTGACAAGTAAAACTAAGAAATATTTATTTTTATATGAATTATTGTTTAATGTATGAATTATTATTTTTATAAGAGTAATTAGTAAAAAAATGGCAATATCAATTGGAGTTTCATCCAGAAAGAAAAGGTATCTACTCAGTTGCATTCATAAATTTAATAAAAGAAGAAAGATTAAATGTTGTTAAGATTTGTTGGTGAAATTAAAAAGGGCTGTGATTTTTCCTAATTGTATGTACCTATAAATAACGACCGTCTCAAATTTAAAATATCTCCTTGGACAATTCACACAGCGCCATCTAGTAGATTACTGATATAAATACATAGATACATTTTTGTAAATACATAGAATACGCCCAAATCAATACAAACAATGGTACTAATGAATACAAATGTTTGTACTTAACATAATCCTAGGTTCGTATTATTATATAGGTTCCCACAGTTATCTAAACATATAAACAAAATTGGAGTGTCTGTTTGTAATATTAAAATAACCGCTTTTTACTACATACATATGAATATAAATGAACATACACCAAAATATTTTTTTTTACCTTTTTGTCTGTCTTTTTTGTCCGAACCGAACCCTGAAGTAGTGTGCTAAACCTCTACACCACCGAGGCCTATATCCTTACTAATATTACATATGTATGCGAAAGTAACTCTGACTGTCTGTCTCGCTTTCACGTCAAAACTACTGATCCTATTTAAATGAAATTTGGTACACATGTAGTCTGGACCCTGAGAAAGAACATAGGCTACTTTTGAATGCGAAAAAAGGGTTGTAAGGGGTTGAAAGTGGGGATGATTCATTGTATGGAAGAATCGTCATTTTTGAAGCTAAAAGCTTGAAACTTATTTTTGAGGCTGTTGATTAAATATGAATAAATATGACATTCAAAGTTTGTAAAAATTTTACCCTTTAGGGGTAAAATATTATATATGCTATAATTTAAAAAGATATTATATAAATTGGGCGATATATAATAAGTGTGATACAGACGAAGTCGCGCGGGTCAACTAGTAGGACTATATATACTTACAAAGCCACGCAGCTGTATTCAAATCAGTTTTTATGGTTGAATTTTCAGACTGAATACCTGGAAGTAGACATGCTGGATAACTGAGAAGCATTCCCTGACCAACCATATTGAAGAGTACTGCAGATACCGTCCATATCTGGAAAAAAAATTGCAATTATAAATCATAAGTATTTTTTTTTATTTTAATGCAATGCAATTGTTTTTTTTTTTAATCAATATTGCAGGCAAATATATATAGTAAAAAATGAGTAGACTAAAGGCCGTAACAATTGGGTCTATGCTAGTTGTTTTTCAAAAACTATACTTGCCTGGGGGAAGTGGATTGTTAGTAATGTGGACTCTTGAACCCATTACTAATGTACCATGTCAGGTTGACCTCCACGCGGTTCCCCCTGGAAACCATCGTGATAAATTCCTAGTGAATTTGTCACGATGGGCTAACTGACCTGACCTCATGCTCATCGTATCGTAACGGTATACGCTGGCGGTACACCATCCCATTATCATCCATAAAAAAATATTATGTCCTTACATATGAAATTAGTGTTTTGTCGTACTGGCCTACTTTGACTTCAAATATCTCTTCTTTGGTTAGGAATTTTAATTTCATATTTATACAGCTATTTGCTTTTCGAAAACCGTAATCCATATGTTTTTTCCATCTTTGGTTTTTCTTTGCGTCTCTCAGTTTTCATATGTTAGGACCTAATATTTAGATTCAAGTTTATAGCTCTAAAAATAATAAAGTATATTTGCATTATTCATTAAGATCCTAAAAATAATAAAGTACATTTGCATTACTCATTAAGATCCTAAAGATAAATTCCACCCCTAAGGGGATAAATTGACGCGAGCGAAGCCGCGGACAAAAGCTAGTAGGTACTATAACTGAAAATCAGCACCGGAAACTATGTTTCCAGCATTACGCTGATTTGTGATCCATATTGACTCTATTTTTAATGTGTAAATTGTTGTTTGTATTTTTTGTCATTATTATGTAAAACGAGTTAATAAAATTATATTCTATTCTATATTACAAGCTGCTTGATGTCTATCTGAATTTTTTTTAATAACTGTATGACAGAATAAAAATAAAATAAGAAAAATATTCTCAAAAATCTTCACTTTACAAATAACTACGACCGATGAACCTATATTTTGACCTTGTATCATAACATTGTAGTTAGACACGAGAATATAGTTAGTTATTTTATATTATTCAACTAGCTGTTCCCGCGACTTCGTCCGCATGGAATTTAACTTTATTTTTCTAAAATAAAAGTAGCCTAAGTTACTCCTTATTACATTAGCTACCTACCAAAAAATGTCCCGTCAAAATCGGTCCAGCCATTTCAGAGATTAGTCGGAACAAACAGACCGACAGACAGACATATTAGAGAAACAAGATATGCAGTGTAAAATGTAAAATTTTATTATGTTCAAACAACCGTCACTAAGTAACTGACATTTATTTCTTTTTCGGTATATTAGATTATAAACCTCAATAAGACAGACAAAAATTGTAAAAAAAAATATTTGGTGTATGTACCATATTCATATTAATATGCATGTAGTAAAAAACGGTTATTTCAATATTACAAACAGATACTCCAATTTTATTTATATGTATAGATATAGTTAATCCATGTGTTTATATAACCATAGATAAAACAATCTCCATGTACAAATAAAGAGAATTTATGAGGAAATTGACTTGAGATTTGTCTTTCCTAATTATCATTCTATATAATTATTGATTAATATAATTATTATTGATTATTTCAGTATACTCTATACAAGTATAAAGATCATCATACAAAAAAAATGTATGGTATAATAATTAATATGTTGATTTTACACATTAAGTTATGACTTGTTTTTAAACTGTAGCAACACGCAAGTTTCTTGCTCATTCTTCTTGTGATGAGACAACTTTCCGAATGAGCGGTAGATTAAAAAAAAATGTGATGAGTATTCAAAAGTGCTTCAATGTAAATTTTAATCTAAATTTGCCGACCTCGGTGGTCTAGCTGTTTAGCACACCGCTTTACGTCCGATGGTCGCGGGTTCGATTCCTCGCCCGGCACAAACATTTGTATTCATGAGTATGATTGTTTGTATCGGTCTGGATGTTTTCTATGTATAATATGTATGTATTTACAAAAAAAATCTATGTATTTATATCAGTTATCTAGTACCCATAACACAAGCTTTAGCTAGCTTAACTTGGGACTAGATGGCGCTGTGTGAAAAAAATATTTGAATAAATGATTTTCTATTCTATTCTACTGCTTTCTTTATTGAGTAATTATTTCACTGTGATTAAGATCTCGATATACAAAACCAAACTCAATGTACATAAACAAACATGATATGCAGAAAATTGTAAGTTATATAATCTTCTTCAGTATAGTTATAATAATAATAATAATAATAGATTTTTTTTTTGGAAGTTAGGAATAATAATAATAAGTGTGTTTATTATGGCATCAATGGCCCATTTGTTAATAATTTACATATTTTAAATCTTTATCTATATCTATCTATCTATCTATCTATCTTTCTTCACAGGCCGCAAATGGCCTTTACAGCTTCACCGGACGTTAGGGGCGAGTGCAGATGGCACTCCAAACCCGCGGAAGGACTTATGGAGCGGCTGAAGGCCAACTCCTGCCTGACGAATACGACTTTAGTCTGAGGGCACCGCTAGGGGTTCGAACCTCGGCTCAGGCCGTCGTAATATCGATCCCCATTTGAATTGGACGGGAGATCGATCGGAGGGGACAGTGGTTACAAGTTGTTACATCCTTGCCTAACAAAGTATACTAACTAAGTATAATATATTAAGATTTCTTGAGGGTCGGCAACGCGTATGTGACACCCCTGGTGTTTCAGGCGTCCATAGGCTACGGTAACCGTTTACCATCAGATGGGCCGTATGCTTGTTTGCCACGTAAGTGGTATAAAAAAAAAAAATTGGCGGATAAAATTTTTTCATCAATGTATTCAGAATGCTATACACAGAGACGATGATCTTAGCATTCCATTGATTCACCTTGCTCAGAGTTCTCGGAGAGCTCACCGCTCGTGTTTCTCTCCCTGCCCAGACAAATTGGGTAGGATACACGTTCTAATATATATACATATAAATAAAATTGGAATTTGAAATATGATATTTCAATTAAAGAATAGTCATCACATTTTTTTTAATCTACCACTCATTCGGAAAGCTGTCTCATCACAAGAAGAACGAGCAAGAAACTTGCGTGTTGTGTAATAATTTAAATGTAAATTTAATTTAGAGCATTGACTAAATAAGTTGCCTATACCACAGTGGTTTTGCCTATATTCCACAGTGGTTAACACTATATTAATAAATAATATATATATACATATACATATATATGATAACTAGGATACCCGGCCACGCGTTGCTGTGGCTAAGGTTCTTGGATAAAATAATATTGCGACTATAAATTGAGACATAAGCTATCCTATCTTTTAAGTTGGTCAAATTGTACACAATATGCAAATCAAATTTGCAATCGGTTTAGTAGTTTAGGAGTCCATCGTGGACAAACAACGTGACTCGTTACTTTTATAAATTATAAAAAATTTACAGAATAATTATTTTCACCACCATTTACCGTTACAGCAAGTAGATATACATTATCATCGAATTGAAAAAAAACTTAACATGCAGGCGCGGAATATTTTTACTACACTTATAAAGCTATACATATAAATAAAATTGGGGTATCTGTTTGTAATATTAAAATAACTGTTTTTTAAAGTCAGCCATATGTATTAAATATACTGAAGTTTTACATCAAGAAGTCAAATAAACAAAGAAAATCTACTAAAACCCGACAGAATATATTTAATAACATGTTCAAAATAAAAGCAACTATAGATAATTTAAATATAAACAATACAAAATATAAAATTATAATAAAAAAACAAATATAACCTGCCGTAAAACCGGTGACACCATATTCCGAGTCAACAGGTCTTTATCTGCACAAGTTAAAATGCTTTCTGTAACACGATTGTTTACTGTACTCATAAATGTAATAACAACGAACTGGGGAAGTCAGATACATTATTTTGTATCAACGCAAATAACGATATCCACAGATAATCGCTACAGTTAAATCAGTAATTCATTCTATGGTAATTGCATAAGATTTTATAATAAACTGCCAGAATCTGCATTAAATCTGACAGAAATACAATTCAAATCTTATATTAAATAATTTTTATGTAACAAAGCCTATTACAGGATAGACGAATTCATAGACGACAACATATCAAGTAAATAATTCGTTTATTAGCATACAACGTTATAATTTAATTTTCTCATTGCTTTCTTGATTTAGTTGATTGATTTTAGAAATATGAAAGCGTAGCTTCAATGTAAGTTTATTTGAATAAATGATTTTCTATTCTTATTCTATTAAAAGAATGATCTAGATTTTTGAATAATTACTAATGTATCTGGCTAATTAGATAATGGAATAGCACAGTTTGTTAAAGATTTATAGTTTTAGAAGAAAGATAAAGAAGAAAATGTGTTCATTTGATACACGTACAGTAGTAAAATTTGTATTAAGAATGTTAATAATAATCTCCACAGATAATAAATGTATAGACTGTAAATAATAGTCTAGATATTTTTAATAATTACCACTTTTTTAATATATCTACACTGCATAATGGGAATAGGTAAGTTTGTCAAAGAATTATAAATAGTTTTAAAAGAAAGGAAAATGAGTTAAAAAGAAAAAAAAAGAAACATTATAATCATTTTTATAAATGCTAACGTCAAAGTAAAACTTCTCATATTCATAGAATTTACGTATATTAAGTATATAAACTGTATATTATTATATACAGGAAATCTTTATATATATATGCTGAATATATATAATTAAAAAAATGTAAAAGTATATATTAATATACATAATTTGTTAATTAGAATAGACTCTATCTACATATTGCTTCAAAATCCGTCATGAGTAATGTCTAATCTACCAATATCCACTCATCCTATACCACCACCATGGTAAATTGCCAAGATGGGTTGACTGACCTCACTTCATGCTCATCTTAACCTATTATACCTTTATCCAATTAAAATATATATATATATATATCAAGATCATTAAATAGATTTATACATTATCCAAAAAAAATATAAATTACAATTTGAAATACACTATTGCTGAAATCTAAGATATTGGAGTTCTATGTATGTTTATATTAAATGATCTTTGTATTAAAGTTTAAGAATTAAAGAATATTGTGATCATCATCATCATCAGTCCACTGCAGTCCACTGCTGGACATAGACCTCTCCCAAGGCACACCACTGGGTACGATCTTCACCCCTTCTCATCCAGTTACTACCCGCAACCCTACGTATGTCGTCGCTCCACCTAGCTGTGGGGTGTCCTACAATACGTTTGCCATTTCGCGGTCTCTACTCCAGAACACGTCTACTCCAGCGAACATCGATTCTGCGACAGATATGACCAGCCCACTGCCACTTCAACTTGCAAATACGAAGAGCTATGTCGGTGACCCTAGTTCTGTGGCGAATTACTTCGTTTCGGATTTGATCCCAAGCATAGCTCTCTCCATATAAAAAGTCCTATAAAAGATTGAAGAGAAAAGACAGATTATAAACACTAAGGGAGAAATGTTACGACAATTGATACGGTATGAATTTATGAAACTTATTCATTCATTCATAATTTAAGAGCGACGCTCTTGTTGGTGGAGCTCTGGGCACTTCCACGATCTTCCATCATTCTCTTTAAACCTTGATACGTCACGACTCCAATTCCGTCTTTCATTTGCTTGATGTAGCTGTGTCTTCTCCCCTTCTTTGCTTCTATCTTCCCCTTAATAATAACTTTCATAACAGCATGCCGTATCAAGTGTAAAACCTTACAATTTGTGGAAAAATAGAACAAAACAGAAAAGGCAAGTTGCAGTTACAATGATAATAATAACAAGCATATTAAGAAAAAGACGAAAGAAGAAGAAAAAGACGAAAAAAGAAAAAGACAACGACGCATTAGATTCCGTAGCCCATACTTCTTGCGTCGCGACGCAAGAAGTATGGGCTACGCGACGCAAGAAGTATGGGCTACGGAACCTAATAAAAGTTGTAGTCATAAGGAACTAGAGATAGCATTATACGAACGATTAGGTAAATTTCCTATTGCGAATTAAGAAAGTAAACAGTTCAACGGAGATAATATCAGTGTGACTATTTATTTGCTTAAATCGTTCTCTGTTGTTAGAATTATCTTTGTTATGATACCTACCGTAAAATCAGATTTTTTTCTATTTTCTGTTGTGTCGCACCTTACCTAATTTGATGATCATCCAAATTTAGCGAAATCAGATCACATCAAAATAATTTTATTTATGTTTTACAGACTAACTGCGCTCGTGACTTCGTCCACAATTTTATGCTATCCTTGGCATAAGAGCAATATCATATCATAAGAGTAGCAATGTCATAAGAGTCTGTAATAGACTGACATGAATAAAGATATTTTGAATTTGAATTTGTATTTACCTATTTTTACGATCAATCAAATTTAGCCAAATGTGATCACAATCAAAATATCTTTATTATTGTAATATTAGATATTGTATAGTATGAAAGATATGCAAAGAAGGGAGTGAATAACGAGATGACTGCGAATAAAGAGAAATGGAAGAGAACAAATATTACCCCGACCCCAAATGATACAGCATTAGGTACATCAGATTATGATGATGATATTTAAATAAACAATGTTCTTTATTGTATTAAATATCAGTTATATTTGATAGTATAAAGAAAAGTGTCTGTTTTCCGCTGAGTTTTTCTAAGGCACGTAACAAGTTTTTTTAACAAACAAATATCATATACTGCTATAATATTATAAATATTTAAGCTGAACATCATATCGCTCATTTTAAATTGATGCAAATTATAGTAATTCTTTAAGATGAACATCATATTGTTAATTTTTAGCCAATGTTCAGTCTGAATAGAACATCTACACATGTTATCTTTATCTAAAAATTAAATAGTTAATTCGTGGCCGGGAAATATTTGTATGTTCTAACTAATGGACAATTTCAAACTCTGATAGCTTTCTCTTTGTATTTTCAACCAATTGAAATCTGCAGCCATGTTTTTTTTATATAAAGTTATTCAGAATGTAATCAGACTCTCTGTCAATGATGAATTTTGATACAGTTTTCACTATAATCTCAAGTGATTCTTCCAGAATGTTTATTGTTTATATTTATAATATATCAACATCATATATATTGAATTTAAACTGGTGCGCAGAATTTAATTATTGAAATTTTAATAAATAATAATTAAGAATTTATATGTTTTTCCTCATTATGTTTCTTCAAGACATGTTAAAATATCAAGACTTAATTTTGACCTTAGCCGTTAAAAAAATTACTTAAATTTGCATAGATAAGCAACCCGTTCAAATATTTCAGAAAGATACACAACATTGAATACTTTTACGTGAAAACGAAAGTTGAAATTACTTTTATTCCAAAACGAATGATTTACGCTTAAAATTTCGCGGTTTTTTTTAATGTAATTTATATTTTTTAATATACATTTAAACGGCCACGGTGGTATACTGGTTTAGCACACCGCTTTATTTCCGAAGGGTTCGATTCCTCGCACGGTATAAAGATTTTGTTTGTATCGGTTTGGGTGTTTCCTATGTATTACTCACCACATTTTTTATACATACATAATATATATAAAAAAATGTCAATGAAAAAACATGTTAAGTCTTCAGCCGCTCCATAAGCCTTTTCTTTGGTTTTGAGTGCCATCTGCACTCGCCCCATATCGTCCGATGAAGCTGTAAAGGACAGCTACAACCAACAGCATTAGAATAGTCCGAAAAATAAATTCTAAAGAGTTTCTAAAGGCGCCAACACCTTACCTTGGAAGGGTGAGATTAGGCAGTCAAATTACAGGATAAAGTGCGCCTTAGTCCTCTGAAATAGCAACGCATGAGTCACATGCTGTTATGTTTCTTGCCAGTTCTTCTCAACTTAAGTAGCTATCTAAACTAGATTGAGTAAGTAGGGATCCTGATAAATATATCACGTGCATAAGAGGCTTAAACGTCTTATGTTAAGAAATAATTTTGAGTTTTACTTTCATTTATTATTCCTTGACAAAAACAATAAGTATTAGAGCAGTAGTTTTTACGTAAACGAGTAACTAACATCTATCCATACCCACAGAATTTCGCGTTTATAATATAATACTATGTAGTAAGAAATAGAAATAATCTTTATTGAAATAGATATATAGATAAAAAAATTAGTCACGTTAAAGGCACACACACACAAGGCACTGTAATAATAAGAATAAAAATAAAAACAGATATGCATATTACATTAGTTAAGTCAAACAAAATACAATACACAACAAATATACAGATAAAAGAAAATGCAATACAGTTAAACAGAACGGTATGAGTAACGTAGTGTGTGTGCATGGCCCATACGTAAAAAGGCAGCACCTCAGTGTATTGTTTGCTGCATACAAGCAGCAAATCACTGATATTCAGGTACTGCCCAGAGACATACGCGAGGACGCATGTAACAAGACCACAGCTTGTAATCAGCCCTATTATATTATCATAAATAGTAATACATTAAAAAAAACTATAATAAATTAAGAAATAGGTATAACATATAAGCATAAAATATATAGGAAAATATTATCAATTCATATAATAAAATAAATATAAAAACAAAAGAGAAAATAAACTTATTGCATAGGAGTGTTAAGTGTTGAGTGTTACCACTATCAAGCAACCAAAACTACTAATCAAATATTGGTTAATTTTTAAATAAACATTTAAAACATAAATTAATATTTAAATAAACTCAATACAAGCAATTTTGAATAATCATATTTTTTTATTCTACCACTCATTAGGAAAGCAGACTCTTCACTTTTTATCGGACTACTCTAATGCTGTTGGCCGCAGCTG